TGAATTTTCCAGTATTTCCCAATGAATATGTATTGCTTAAAAAAAAGAAAAGGTGCAGAAACCAATTCAAATAGAAAAAAAATCTGCCCAGGGAAGCCTAGCATTGGTTCACGTTGTAGTGCTCACAGGTGAAAATCTTAATTGTACTACAAGGCAGTTTTTCCACAGCAGCATATCCTAAGGGGTTTTATTCATTTTCTTTTTATTATTCTTATCAGTGTGTCCTTCTCATCACCTGTGTTCATATTACACCACCACCAAGATATTTTTAACTGAATAAATATTCAAATTTAAGTTGATTAGAAGCGATTTCGTTAATTCAGGTTACCTTGCGAGAGTAGACTAGGACAGGGCTCTAATTTGTCCGATTATTAACATTCCGAGTATACTGGCACTGATTCTGTAGAGCAAGGACAGAAGCTCTTGGCAGGAGAGCAAATCAGTTTTTTCTAAAGCTGCTTAATTTCGTGCTCCCTCTGTGTCCTGGTGCAGGGCACTCTGCAAAATTTTAGACCCCCGCACAGAGGGGTGGTTAGTGGTGCTGCACTTCCTCATCCTTCTGGATCCCTTTCCCATCTCTCATATTTCTCCCCACTATGTAGGACCAGTGTTTTGCCCTTTGCTCCACGAGACTAGCTGAAAGATTCTGGGGAAATTGGGAACTGAGACCCTGAGGGGCATACTGCAGCCAGAAGCACCAGGACTGGCTAGGAAAGGGCTCAGGTTAGCAGCTGATGTCTGATAGTCAAAACTTACCTTTGCTCCCCAGTAGGCCCTGTTTCCAAGCCCTATGGCTCAAGTAATGCAGAGAGCAGTTTGATTGGGGGCTGTTGTCACTGCCTGACGTGAACACATCTCCCTCTCTAATTCCACCAGGTTATTTTGACATTTTCTGTACTCTTTGTGCTCAAGTTTGGTATTACTTCAGAAAACATGGCAATAATTAGCACCTATAGGGCATTGTACAATTCTCTTTATAATAGTCTTGCGATGTATTATTATCTCCCAAATGAAGATCACGGGAGTATCTTACTCAAAGCCAGTAGTAGTAAGTGGCTGAACTAGGGCAAGAGAGCCTGGTCTGTGTGTCTTGAAAGCCTTTGTTCTCTTCCCACTGCGTCAGCTGTTAAAAAAGGAACAGCAGTAACAGCTGTGGTAGAACTGGGGCTCATACACTGTTCTTGGAGTCCAAGTATTGAAAGCCATCTTATCAGCAGAAAAAGAGACTACTTGAATGTAAGCCCCATGAGGACAGGGACTTTGTCTGTTCACCTTGTATTCCCAGCACAGCATCTACTGTGTAGCAGGAGCTCAATAAATATCTGGAGAGAACAAATAGATATCGGCCATGTTTAAGCAGATGCAAAGTACAGGATGTATTAAAGGAAAAGAAAACAAACCTTTCTAATAGTTTTACAAGTTATTCCTAGCTGAGGATACCAGGTTTATACATATTAGTTTAGTGTAATTGTTAATAGCGCCCTTGCATTCTCAAAAGTGTCTTGTTTGGAAGGTAACTTCCATGGTCACCCTGTCTGTAGCAGATAGGTTATTTTTGGACATTCATGGGTTGCTTCAGTTAACCAAGTTAATTCCAAATTACAATCACTCCTTCGATGGCTGCTTGTTAATGACTGTTTTCAGTGCTTGGTTCACAAGGGAATGTGTTGGTCTAGAAGAACACCTGTGCTGCTGTGGGGACACACAGTCTGTACTGGAGCACCAGGGCGGCTCAGTCCCACATTGCCCCTACATGCCATTGGCAATGAGGTGTGTTTACGGACAGGAAACAGTCTACAAGGGTCCTGCACTGGCACTGTAGAAATTCCAAATTTCAAAGCTCACTTGCCAGTGTTATGCTGTCATCTTAGAACACAGGTTGTTTGAGGGAAGTGGAAGAGAATAAGGGTGGTGACCCAGGTCGACATTGGCCATGAAATGCCATGCTCAGGAGTTTGACTTTTTATCCTGTTGAAAACAGGGCACCACAGGTGAGTGAGATCAGCTCGTGATGGTGAACTGAGCACACCTGTCAACATCCTGGTCTACCCCAGACTCCATAGAGATGCTTAAAAATGTGCTGATACCTTCAGCAAGTATATATCATGGGAAGAAAGGGGGAATTCTAAATTAAAAGTCTGAGGAGACAAAAAAAAAAAAGAAAACGAATGCAGTGCATAGTCCTTAGCACAATCTTGGTTTGAACAATGCAGCTTTTTCACTGAACACTAAAAACAAAAACAAAATCACAGGAAAACTTGAAATTTAGAAAGCAGATGGGATCAAATGGCCACTAAAAAAAAAAAAGTAGAAAAACCAGAGCTTAAAAGACATGGAAAATAAAAGAAATGCAGAGGTAAAACAATTCTAGTGACAGTCCAGGCGGAAGATTAGCTGAAAGATAGGTGCAGTAGGTGAGAGTGTGCTCACCTGGTGATGAGCTAGCTGTATGCCAAACACCTGGGCCACTTGGGCCGGGGATTTCTTTAGTCCTTGGACTCTCCCAGCTCGCTCCTACTACAGCTGGAGCCATGGTTCTTGTAACCCCGGGATGAAAATCAGGAACTGCTCTTTCCAAGGAAAATGAGCTGTACGTGGGACACAGCTTCTTGGTATAACTGGCAAGGACTAAAGGAAAGACAAATCTGCCCAGGAGGGAAGTGAAGGGCTTGGTATTTAGAGTAAAGCCTACCTTTTTTGACAAGTAGCTAGCCATTCCACACCCACTCATTCCATGGTCATTGTCCCTTTAAAGTAAGCAGTCACTGGGGAAACAGATCACCCCAACTGCGGGGGAAACCGCTGATACCCATTGCCTTAGTCCTTGATTCACATTCACGTTTGGATAACCAAGGATCACTTGGTTATTAACAGAGCTAGACATAAATGCACAGACACGAGACACAACTCCAGAGATGGATTATTAAGGGGATAGAAAAAATATTTAAAATTTTAACTTTTATCCTCCGAGTGGACATCATATCCTAAAAATAACTGGTTATGAACAATTACCAGAAATCTTAGAAATGAGCAATTCTCATTAAATTTACTGAAATTGTAAAAATGTCTAGAAGGACTGAAGACTGAGTTGGTGATATGAAAAATAAAGTTAGGGAAGTTTCTCGGAAGTTGAGACATGAAGGGTCAATTTAGGATGTCTAGCATCTAATCAAAGATTTGCAAGGAGATACAAAGGAACAAGAGGAAATAATCAAACAGACTAGGAGGAAATGTCCAGAGCCAAATATCCACCGAGCGCCAAGTGGGATGAAAAAGATCCACACCCTAGAAAACTGTCAGGACCCACAGTGTGAGAGAAAAGCACCAAAAGAAAAACAAAGCAGCTTATTCTTTTCTTCAGAAACTCTGGATGCTGGAACAAAATGGCCTGAGTTCTCAAATTTCAGAGACAAAGAAATCTTGACCAAAGAAGTATTTATCAGGTAAAACTAGCACTGTGTTGTGAGCCCTAATGCCACTCAAAGAACAGAAATAAGGGATTTAACTCCCAAAATATTTTAAGAGTAGCAGGAAGGAAAAGGGAAAAACTTGATCAGTTAACAGGGAACATGGGCAAAAACCAAAATTACAGTAAATGGGAAACCTGAAATAAATGAAAGGAATGTTTCACATTAAGTTGTAAATGTTTCACAAATAATACTTGTTTAATATTAATGATATTAGATAATGCCATTAATGTAAATAACTTAAATTTCTATATTAAAATGAAATCTCAGATTGTGAAGAAAAACTAAAAATTCAAATATATGCTATTTACAAAATTCACACAAAATCAAAATGAAATAGAAAAGATCAAAGTTAAGGGATATGAAACTAAGTGATTTGTATCAGAAAAAAGTAAAATTTCAGGTGAAAAGGATTAAAAAGAACAATGTATATTTCATATATAGTTTTATTTATGTATAATTATCAATAATTGTACTTATTAATATTATTATGAACCTATATATACCTATTATTAGCAATAGAGTCTGTAGTTAAAGATATATTTATAAACCATAATTAGGGAGAGAAGGTTTTAATACATCTGTCTCCTAAACTGAAAGATCAAGTAGACATAAAATAAGCAAGAAAGCAATGAACAAGTTTGATCTAAAAGATATATAGAGAATATATATTCAACAGAAAATACATATTGTTTGCAAGTATCCATGGAACATCAACAATTGTGTGTTAGGCCACAAAGAAAATATCAACAGATTTAAAAAGTAGAAGTCATGGGGTACATCCACTGTTGACAATGCACTAAAATAATAAGCAGCTAGTCAATAGCCTATATATGTGTGTGTGTATATATATATACATGTATATATATATGTGTGTATATATATATATACACACACACATATATATGTGTTTAAAGAGAAACATTATCCTCTTGAAAATTAAAAACTTTAGGTGTTTAATATAACTCTTAGGTCATTAAAATGGAAATATAAACTCAAATTACAAACTAGCAAAGAATGAACATAATGCAATATAGAGCAAAGTCTGTAGGATGCAACAAATTGGGATGTGGGGGACTCTGTCATCCAATAGAACTTTCTGCAGTAAAGAAAATGTTCTGTAATTATGCCGTCTGATATGGTAGCCACTTCCCATATGGGGATATTGAGCTCTCGAAATGTGTCTAGTGTTACTGAACTGAATTTTAAACTTTGATTCTAATTAACATGAATTTAAATAGCCACATGTGGCTACCATATTGGACCACACAGGTCTATAGTCTCTAATAAAGCATTGCCAGGAAAAGAAGATAGAAAAAAAATGTAACTATATATTAATCTCTAGTTAGAAACCAAGATGAACTCCATTCAAGTAATATATATTATATACTTTTAAAAATTAATACATTAAAAAAGATATGTGAAATGCATTTATAACAATATATGAACAAAATTTACTTACGATAAAGTAGAATACTTAAATTTACTATAATGATAAGGAACTATAAAAGGTAGTAAAACCCACTTCTCAAAATGGCTCAGGCCCATATTTTAGATATGTTTTACCTAAACATCAAGAAGCAGGTAATTTCTACGTATTATAAAATATTCGAGATGATAGAGAAATATTGACACTTTCTGTTTTATTCTTTAAGGTGGCCATAATCCTGATGCAGAAACCAGATAAGACTGTACAATAAAACAAAATTGTATCTGGTTTCACTTACAAACATAGATGCAAAAATCTAAAATAAACGAATTGGATTTATTACATATTATATATAGATTTATCCCAGCAACACAGTGATGACTTGACATACTGTTAGTGTAATTCAATACCTAAAAGATTAAAGGAGAAAAAAAAGATCATGTTGTTTATTGAAAAAGCATTTGGTAAATTTCAACACCCATTTCTGATTTAAAATTCTTAGCCTCCAAGTAGAAAAAAACTTCTTTAACTTGATAAATGGTATTGAACAAAAACCTTCTGTATCATATTTAGTGGTACAAGCGTTTGAAATATTTCCACTAAAGTTAGAAACAAGCAAGAATGCCCACTGTCACTTCTGCTATTCCCAGTTGTATGTTCTAGTCAGTGCTTTAAGATCAATAAATAAAAGGCATACATTCTGGAAATGGGCCAAAAAAGTTCATTTCGAAGACGGTATGGTCATCTACCTAGGAAATTCAGAAGAATCATAAAATATATTGGAACTAAATAGATAGTAACAAAATACTTGAGGTAAATTCCTTCTACAGAAATCCATAGCTTTTCTCTACATCAGCTATAATCAATCAGAAAATATAGTGAGAGAAAAAAGCTACCCCTCCACAATGCCTCCAAACTCTTGCAATATCTAGGAATAAATATATGAGGACACATGAAAAATCTGAGGGAAACTATAAAACTGAAGGACATAAAAAAAGGCCTGAATTCCCTGAGTCATACTTCCTAAATAGAGAGATTTAATACAATAATGATATTTCTCAATTGTTAAATGCAACTATCATCAAAATTGTAACAGGGCTCCTTATGGAACTTGACAAGCTGATGCTAAAATTCCACTGGGAGAGAAATTGTGCGAAAGTATATAGGAACCAGATTCCAAACAGCTAGGAGGGAACCATATGTTCTGTCAAATACAAAACATACTATAAAAAGCTAGAAATTAAACAGTGTGGTATTAGCCAGGAATAGGGAAATAGATTAATAGATCAGAATGAAGCCCAGAAATACATACATACATGCATGGATACATACATACATACATGTATATAATGTGGAATTACAAAACACTGAGAAGTTTAGCCTGTTCAATAATTCTTTGAGGTAATTAACTCTGCATTTCAAAAAGAATAAGACTAGTTACTTACCTCATGTTAATTACCAGATAAATTCCAGATGGGATAATTGTAAAAGCACCATAGAAATATTAGCATAAACTATTAAAGCATATCTTTAAATTTTTTTTTTGTTTTTCAATTATAGCAACATACAATATTAGTTTCAGGTGTACAGTATAATGAGTAGACATTTATATAACTTATGAAGTAACCACCCTGATAAATCTAGTACCCGTCTGGCACCATATTTAGTAATTACAATATTATTGCCTGTATTCCTTACACTATATTTTACATCCCCTTGACTGTTTTTATCACTGGCAATTTGTATATCTTAATCCTTTTACTTTTTTCATCTAACCACAAACCTCCCTTCTATCTGGCAACCATCAATTTCTTCTCTGTACCTTGAGTTTGTTTGTTTTGTTTTTTCATTTATTTTGTTTTCTAGATTCCACATGTAAGTGAAATCATATGGCATTTGTCTTTCTCTGTCTTATTTCACTTAATACCCTCCAGGTTCATCCATTGGATTGCAAATGGCAAGATTTCATTTTATAAGGCCAAGTAATATTCCATTGTATATATGTGCCACCTCTTTTTTATCCATTTGTCTATCATTGGACACTTAGATTCCTTCCTTATTGTGGCTATTGTAAATAATGCTGCGGTGAACATATAGATGATATGTCTTTTTAATTAATGTTTTGGATTTCTTTAGATAACTACCCAGAAGCGGAATGCTGGTTATATGGTAGTTCTGCTTTTAATTTTTTGAGGACCATCCATACTGTTTTCCACAGTAGATGCACCAATTTTCAATCCCACCAAAAAAGTGCATGAGAGTTTTCTTTTCTCCACATCCTCACCAACACTTGTTTGTTAATTTATTGATGACAGCCAATCTCATGGTATCTTATGGTTTTAATTTGCATTTCTCCGATGATTAGTGATGTTGAACATCTTTTCATAAGTTTATTACCAGTCTGTACATCCTCTTTGGATAAATGTCTATTCAGGTCCTCTGCCCATTTTTAAATAGGATTGTTTGTTTTATTGGTGTTAAGTTGTATGAGTTCCTTACATATTTTTGATATTAATCCCTTATCAGATATATCATTTGCAAATATCTTCTTCCATTGCGTAGGTTGTCTATTTATTTTGTTGATGGTGTCCTTCACTGTTGAAAAACTTTTTAGTTTGATGTAGTCCCATTTGTTTATTTTTTATTTCTCTTGCCCGAGGAAACAGATCACAAAATAAATATTACTAAGATCTATGTCAAAGAGATTACTGCCTATATTTTTTCTAGGAGTTTTATGGTATTGGATCTTACGTTTAAGTCTTTAATACCATTTGGAGTTTCTTCTTGTATATGGTATGAGAAAGTTGCCTAGTTTCATGTTTTTGTATTTGTCTGCACACTTTTTCCAACATCATTTATTGAAGAGACTGTCTTTATCTTGTATATTCTTGCCTCCTTTATCATAGATTAATTGACCATATAGGATTGGGTTTATTTCTGGGCTCTCTATTCTGTTCCGTTAATCGACATACCTGTTTTTATGCCACTACCATGCCATTTTGATAACTATAGTCTTGTAGTGTAGTTTGATATCAGGTAGCTTGATACCTCCAGCTTTGTCGTTCTTTGTCAGGATTGATTTGGGTATGGTGTGTGTGTGTGTGTGTGTGTGTGTGTGTGTGTGTGTGTGTGTGTGTGTTGTTCCATATAAGTTTTAGGATTATTCGTTTTAGTTCTGTGAAAAATATCATTGGTATTTTCATAGGAATTGCATTGAACCTGTAGATTGCTTTAGGTAATATGGCTATTTTAACAATGCCAATTTTTATTCATGAGCATAGTATATACTTCCATTTGTATCATCTTCAGTTTCTTCAGTGTCTTATAGTTTTCCAAGTACATGTCTTTTACTGCCCTGGTTAAATTTATTCGTAAGGTTTTTTGTTTGTTTGTTTGTTTTTTTGATGAAATTGTAAATGGGATTGTTTTCTTCTCTTTCCATTAGTTTATTATTGGTGTATAAAAATGCAACTGTTTTCTGAATATAAGTTTTGTATCCTGCTACATTACTGAATTCATTTATTAGTTATAATAGATTTTTGGTGGATTCTTTAGGGTTCGCTCATGTCATCTGCAAATAACAGTTTTACTTCTTCCCTTCCAATTCAGATACCTTTTATTTCTTTTTCTTGTCTGATTGCTGTGGCTAGGACTTTCAATACTATGTTGAATAAAAGTGGTAAAAATGGACATTCTTGTCCTGTTCTTAATCTTAAAAAGCATTCAGTTTTTCATTATTGAGTATGATATTAGTTGTGGGTTTGTCATATATGGCCTTTATTGTGTTGAGGAATGTTCCTTCTAGTCCCACTTTCTTGAGGGTTTTTATCATGAATAGATGTTGGATTTTGTCAAATCCTATTTCTGCATCTATTGATACAATTATGTTATTTTTATCCTTCATTTTGTTTAAATGGTATATCATGTTAATTAATTTTCAGATATTGAACCAGCCTTGCAACCCAGGAATAAATCCTACTTGATCGTGGTGTATGATCTTTTTAACATATTGTTGAATTCAGTTTGCTAGTATTTTGTTGAAGATTTTTGCATCTATGTTCATCAAGGATCTTAACTAGTTTTCTTTTTGGTTTTAGTGTCTTTGTCTTTAGTGGCTTTGGAATCAGAGTAATGCTGACCTATTAAGATGAGTTTGGGAGTCTTCCCTCTACTTCAATTTTTAGGAATAGTTTGAGAAGGATAGGTGTTAATTTTTCTTTGAACGTTTATTAAAATTCACTTGTGAAGCCATCTAGTCCAGGGCTTTTGTTTGTTGGGAGCTTTTCAATTACTGATTTGATTTCATTAGAAGTTATTTATCTGTTCGGATTTTCTGTTCCTTCCTGATTCAGCCTTGGAAGATTGTTTGTTTCTAGGAATTTATCCATTTTTTCCAGGTTGTTCAATTTGTTGGCATGTAATTGTTCATAGTAGTTCCTTATAATCCTTGTGGTATCGGTTATCTTATCACTTCTTTTTCATTTTTGATTATATTTATTTGGGTCCTCTTTTTTTCTTGATGAATCTGGCTATAGTTTTATGAATTTTGTTTATCTTTTAAAGTAACCAGGTCTTGGTTTCATTGATCTTTGTATTATTTTTTGACTCTATTTCATTTATTTCTACTCTGATCTTTATTATTTCCTTTCTTCTACTCACTTTGTTTTTCTTTCTAGTTCCTTTAGGTATAAGGTTAGATTGTTTATTTGAGATTTTTCTTCTTTCTTGAGGTAAGCTTGTATTGCTATAGATTTCCCTCTTTGAACTGCTTTGTCTGTGTCTCATAGGTTTTGGGTCGTTGTGTTTTAGTTTTCATTTGTTTTAAGGTATCTTTTGATTTCCTCCTTGATCTTGTGCTTATCCCATTCATTGTTTAGTAGCATCTTGTGGAGTGATCATGTGTTTGTGTGTTCTTTGGGTTTCTCCTTATATTTGACCTATAGTTTCATAACATTGTGATTGGAGAATATATTTGATATGATTTCACTCTTCTTAAATTAGTTGAGACATGTTTTGTGGCCTAAACTGTGGTCTATCAGTTTAGGCCAGAAAATGTATCAGGTACACTCGAGGAAAATATATATCTTGCTTTGAGGTAAAATGTCCTAAAAATATCAATTAAGTCCAGCCGGTCTAATGTGTCATTTAAGGCTGCTGTTTCCTTTCTGATTTTCTGTCTGGATGACCTATCCATTGATATCAATGGGGTGTTAAATTCCCCTAGCATGACTGTATTACTGTTGATCTCTCCCTTTGTGTTCGTCAATATTTGGTTTATATATTTAGGTGCTCCTCCATTGGGTGTGTAGATGTTTACTAGAGTTGTGTACTCTTGTTGGATTGATTCGTTTATCATTATGAAATGCCCTACTTTGTCTCTTGTAACAGCCCCCTTTTTTAAGTCTCTGTTGTCTGATATAAGTATTGCCACTTCAGCATTTTTTTCCATTACCATTTCCATGAAATATCTTTTTCCAACCCTTTACTTCCAGTCTATGTCAATCTTTCAACATGAAGTGGGTCTCTTGTAGGCAGCATATGTATGAGTCTTGTTTTTTTATCCATTCAGCCACCCTATATGTTTTGATTGGAGCATTTAGTCATTTCACATTTAAAGTAATTATTGATAGGTATATAGTTATTGCCATTTTATTAATTAATTGTTTTTTTCATTGTTTTTATAGTTGTTCTCTGTTCCTTTCCTATTCTCTTGCTCTCTTCACTTATATGTTGATGACTTTCTATAGTGTTGTTTGAATTCTTTTCCCTTTGTTTCTTGTATATCTTGTAGATTTATGGTATGTGGTTACCATATACTTCCTATATACCAAGCTATGTTTATTGCAGTCTATTTTAAGTTGCTGGCTTCTTAAGTTTGAACACATTCTAAAGTCATTATAGTTTTTACTCATCCCCTTCATGTTTATATTTCTGTCATTTTTTTCTTTTGTGAATGTATTTGTCTGTATCCCTTAATTTATTGTTGTAATTGCACATGATCTTTGTTTTTGCCTTTTAACCTTTGTACTAGCTTTACAGTTGGTTGATCTACTGCTTTTACATGTGTTTGCCATTGGTAGCAAGAATTTTTTTCCTGTATTTTTCACATTTTTGATCTTCTCATAGAAGTCCCTTTAATATTTTTTATAATACTAGTTTAGTGGTAATAAACTTCTTTAGTTTTTTCCTGTCTAGGAAAAGCCTATCTTTGTAATATAAGTAGAGATAGCTTTGAAAGCAAGACCAAATTCACCAAAGTCCTAAAGGAAATAGTTGGTAGATTTGTTACTAAATATTATATATATTTTTGTGGCAAGAGCCTTATAATCCAAATTAAAAGCTATGACAGACTAGAAAAAATATTCGACTAATATCCAGAGTATATGAACACCTACAAAGCAATGGAAAAAGATGAACAAAGGTAATAGGCAAGCATAATAAATTGAATATGCAATAAATAGAAATTGAAATTGTCACTAAAATTAAAAGATACACAACTTCACTATTAATTAGAATAATGCAAATGAAAAAGAAAATCGAGGGTTTTTTTGGCTCACAAGAATGGCAAAAATGAGAAAAATAAGATTAAGAATTATCAGTCTTATTAAAGAGTTTGGGAAATGGTGACTCATACACTGTTGGTGTGGGTGTAAATTTTTGCATCTTGAGGGAGAGCAGTTTGGCAATACTTAAGTTGAAAAACAAAAGCAAAGGTTTCCCTTTTGCTCTTACAGTTTTGCCTATAGGATATGTGCTTATTTGTACAAAGACATATTTACGAAGATATTCAGCACCGCATTATAATAACATCAAGATTCCACATTAGGAGAACAATTCAGTAAACCGTCATCATAAACAAAGATGCTGGATGGAGGTGCCAGATGAGTTCACGTTCTCCTTCCCCCACAGATCACAACAGACGATAGAAAACATTTCTTTAAGAGAATAAATCTGTAACAGCTGGGAAAATGAGCATGTTCCCAGTGAATCAGAATTTCCGAGGAATTGTTAAGTGAGAAGAGCAACCTACTTTAAAAAATATCCCATTTATGCAAAAAGCTGTATATGTGTATTATATGTTTGACAAAGAAATTGTCTGAGAGGATATAGACTAAACTGTTGACAGTTGTTGCTTCTAGGGAGAGAATTGAATGAGGATATGAGAGATGGGTAAAGGAAGACTCGCTTTTTTTTTGGTTAACAAAAGAAAGAAGAAAATTGGAAGGCAGACAGAAGTGAGAAGTGCAGAAGTTTTGCTTCCTTTGAACTCACCTAACTTCTTGCACATTACGTGTTCTTCCCAGTATCCCTTGGGAAACCAGGGCCACCTACATCAGCATCCTGTCCTGAGGAGCTGTGTCTTTGGCAAGCTGCCTTTCTTTTCTAACTCACCCTCCTCTTTTGGCTTCAACTCTTGTCAATTCCCAAATTTGTTTTCTCCTGTGACCTGCCTGTGGCCTGGCATTTCCATTGCTGACTGTTCCATTAATTCAAGCATCCCATTCTTTGACATTTTCCGTGGATTGTGTTCAATAGCTGTAGAGAATAAAACATACAGAAATAGAAGATGAAGATGGAAATCATATTTTTCCCAATTGTGCTTGAAAATATTCCCAAACGGAAATAAGGAAGTTTTTGATTCCTAATGTTGGGCTTTAAATGGCATGTATATTCCATTCAAAAAAAGGACTTTATTTGAACTTTATTTGAATGTTTCCTAGGATTTAGGATTTTAGATCTTTCTCTGTTCTATGGAATGTGTGTTTCATCAGAATAGTCTGGGAGAGTCACCAGTTTGGTTCTCTCATAAGTAAACAGATTTTCCAGCATAATAGTTGACTGGGAAACTAGGCCATACGAATCCTATCTATTGTTAATCAAATGAGAGAGAAACTTGTAGGAAAACCTCTGAGAATATTTGTAGGAAAAACTTAAAAGTCGCATAAGCTTCAGACCTATTCGCTACCCTAGATGCCAAGGGCATGAAGTTAGTCACGCCTGCCCTCCAGGTCCCTCACTCCAGCTGTACAGTCATTCACTGTGTTATTTGTAACCTTTACTTGTTCTCATGTATGATATTTTCTCTGTGCCCAGATGTTAATTATGCAGTGCTTCTGTTTTTTGTTTGTTTGTTTGTTTTTTCCTTCTCTTTCAGGCAAAGATAGACTTCTTGATAGTTGGAGATGTCACTGTTCAGTATCTGGCTGATATTGTACAGAAATTATTTTCAGAAATAGCAGAAGTCACCATAACCGTCAGCGATGTGAGGAAGGCAGCCGCGCTCCTGGATGAGCGTGCATTCAACGTGGTCTTCCTGAAGATGACTTCGCCAACCCCTGGAGAGCTGGACGCTGTCAAGTTAATTAGGTAAACTCTAAAACCTTGACTCTGTACCTTTGAAATAGTTTTCGTTAAAACCTATTTCCATAGAATCCTTAAAAGATGATACTATTTCTACTTTAATTTTTAAGATGAAGGATATTTTTAAGGGCAGAATCTACTTACATGCTGTTATTTTTGCCTGTTTGACACACTATTATGAGGGTTATGATTTTAACTTAAAAAGTAGTAGATATGGGTGAGAATGTAAGAATTAATTGTTCATAGAAATTTATTTGGTATATAATGCTTAATCACTCAGGTACTCCTTTTTTAATAACTATGTCGTTAAAATGGCCTATCTCTTCAGAGTTCATTAATTGTTATGGCAGATATGAAGGCAGGTGAGCACTTTAGCTCCATGTCATGTTAGCTGTGGACTGAAGTGTCCCTCTCAGACACCCTGACATGACGGAGCCTTTGGGCTCCTGGATTCAGTGAGTCCAGACCGATCCTCCTCCGGTATCGTGGCTTCATCCCATAGCTCTCTAGAAGTTCTGTTTCTGCCTGACCTGCTCTGCTCCTGGAGCCTGGTCATGGGGGTGGTATGTCCTTCCTTGCCTGACTACCTAGGATTTTGAGCCATTTAGGATGCTTTTAAAAACAGGATTACTTGTTCTGACCTATAAGAAGACTTGATAGAGAAAGTGTAATTGTAGATAATATTCAAATATATAAGGACTTCTCAAAATTAAAGGACAGTCCCTTCTAACTAAAGGAGAAAGTTCAGAGACAATATTGTGATCCTGAATCGAGGAGCAAGCATATATGTTACAGGGAAAGAAAGTTGGAATATCAAGAAACCAAAGCCTTTGAGTTACTTGTTAAAGAGACAGACAGATATTATTCCTGGGGTTTGTTAGAACAGTTGTCTTCTGCAATTTTTTTTTTTTTTTTTTGCTTTCTGTTGGGAATATGAACTCTAGACAAACCAGGCAAACCACCTCATAGTGGATTTCACTTTCAAAACTTGTTGTTAACTGTCCTCCTTCTGAAGATATGCCTGATTTAAGATATTGCATACCTTAAAAAGCCCTGAAGATAGAGTTCCCCTGGTTGGGACTCATAATAATATCTCATTTATATAGCAGTTTTAAATTTTTTCAACAGCTTTATGAAGATATAGAGCAGGGTTTCATCATTCCTACTTGACAGATGAGAAAACAGAGGCTGAGGGGACTTGCCGGAGACTGTAAGGCTTATTGTCATACAACCTAAACCAGAACTTTTTCCCTTCTTGTGCTTTCTAAAAGTCTGTGATTAGTTGGCTTCTGTATTGAAGACCCTTCGTTTATACCTCTGAGATTCAGTATGTGCCAAACTCAGAATAAACTAAACATCTATATGGTTTTAGAAGAGCACTGGACAAATCAGTAGGGCTGATCGCTCTCTTCTCTGGAGTAGGATCCCAGCTATGCCTCTCCGAATGTAGTAAAGGCTTTGATTTTGCTCATTATTGAAGCTACATTTAAGAATAGAGTTCTGTTAGGGAGTAAGCTTTATGTCTAATCAGTAAGTAAAAGCTGAGGTTAGGGGACAGAACTTCCTGTCTGCTACTTGCCTCTGTGAGTTCTTCCACTGCTACTTTTCTTCTTCTGAATAACATAGTTTAAGATTTTTTAGCAGGGTAAAGACGGTAGATGAAAGTACTAACTGTACAAACACGCACATGATAGTTCTACTATTTTGCTCTAAATGCATTTTTTAAAAAGAAAGAAAGCTTTGTGGAATACATGTGTATTTTGTTTTCTTGTCTCTTGTTATGCTGTTCCCAGTATAGGTCTTGACCGATGGCAGGTGTTCGTACTTTGCTGCAGGTGTGACTGAGTGAGCGTGTGCACGCGTGGGAGAGATGCCATTCTAGTGCAGGCAATGAGTTCTAGCATTGGCGTTCCTCTCCGACAAAGGGTCAAAGCTTTCTTCATGGAAGCTTTGCCTTTCATGATGGCTCAGAGGCTAGAAATGTCTCTGAAATTCCCTTTCTTGACCTCAGAATTGTTACGAGTTTATGGCTTATGAGTTATTTAAACCTTTGTACAGTGTATTTGTATTTTTGGATCTATATTTTTGCTTCATTTAGGGTAATGAGCTCTACAAATATATTGCCCCGTTTATAAAGCATTTAAATCTTCATCTTTCCTAAAGCACTAACATTTAATGACTAAACCAAAATGAAGAGTCTTGGTTTACCTTTCCTTCTGCTGTATTTTAGATCTTCGATGTTGTTTTGTAATATCTCAAAAGCTGGAACCTATACAACTGTTTATGCTTCTCTGTCTAAGCACTTTCTGTGCCTCACCAGTGAATGAGGAACTTACTAGAGAGCAAACGTACCCACACTTAAGTATTAGAGCACACGATCATAAATCTGTGTATCTATGAGATATATATACAGATTTCCGTTGAAAATGAGAATGAAGGCTTATTTTAGAATAAAACGTAAGAAGCCTCCTTAAAATGATTCTTAAATTTATTCTTACAGAAAAACTATGTTTTCAACTTGGAGCTAATCGTTGATCAATTTTAATCGTAAAAATATTAGTACTTTATAGACCAACATTTTCAAGAGTTATGGTACATATCAGTTATAGGTTCACATCCCTATAGTGCTCCCTAATCAGATTTCATGAATATCTGTTTTTTGAGTCAGACGAACTCAGACACTACTCAATGGAAAAATAGTTTAAGATAGTCTTAGGATTCATGTGGTTGGCTCTAGAATTCTAGGGATATTTGACTCTTGGCTTAGGTCAGTTCTCAAAATTGTGCCACATGCAAAGAGCAGATTCTTGATCATTTAGACACATCCTGACACTTTATCTTCCAAAGGCAGGTATAGAAAATTAAAACATGTTTCAAACTCATCAACATTGTTTGGATACTGTCTGAAACTGATTTTCCATTCCATGAAGCGTCTCTACTATTCTTAAAATTCTGTGATTCTCGTGAGCTCAGAGCAGTTCAGCAGCAGTAAAGGGCTGCAGAACGTGGTTCCATCTGCTCAGTCTGCAACGAAGCTTGGCTCTGATTTCACTTTTCCCCATGTAATTTCACTTATCTGATTCGTTAACTTATTACTTCGCTATGAATATTCAATCCTGGGAGCCACAGGGATCTAAGAAGTTGTTCTTTTATGTCCCCGAATCCAAAATATCCTGGACTTGATGCAACTCAGTACATTTTATCAGCTTTCATGACGTTAGTCCTGTGAGCACTTGACCGTAAACACAATAACCACAAACATCTAATGATTTTACTAAAAAATTATTTATAAATTGATGATGGGGGCAAATAGGAACTGAGGGTAGTTCTGGACCTTTATCATTCTGGCATCATGTCATGTGGTGAACCCAACCTAGGCGGTTCAGTACAGGAAAGTCTCCTGACCAGCAGCATCGTGGGAGCAGACATGCCAGCCTTCACTGCCCACCAGTAGTAAATGTAGTAATGAATAAAGTTCTGAATAAACTCTCAGAACTTTACTACATTCTACAGCAGGTACCCTGTTAGCAGCAAATGAACTCAGTACTTTCAAACTGATAGTAAAACTCAATTTTCTTACTGAAAACAGTTGTTTAAGTAATTAACAAGGAACATTATTTGTTACAAGTCCCAAATAGGCCACTGCGAGGTTGAGTTGGCTGCATTAGGCCACGGACAGCATTATGGATAACTGTATTCAAGAAGGCCACAACCCAAAAATGACACTGGCTTTTGTCCCTTGAAGCCCTTGTGGCTCTAAAGGAAGTGAGTTTAGCAATTTCTCCCAGCTTCATAGGGACTTATAAGAACTCTTTTTAGTGGCCAAGGTTTTTCTGAGGTTCTTTGGTTAGCGGAGTGTTCGACTTAGCTCAAAAGACTTTTATATGATCTTTTTTCCCTCAGCTACCAGGGACCAGAGCTGGGGATGGAACAAGACTGGGGATGAGCACTGCTGCAGTCTGTGCCTCCTGTTCCAGCAGACACTAGAGACAGACATAGAAATGTATATTAGGATATCAGTATCCAATTTGGTATGTGGAGTATAGTTTCAAGAACCATCATGAATGACATTTAAAGAGTCTATTCTGTGAGTCTCTTCAGGAGAAATGAATTGCAGGTTTTTATTTTATTTTTTTCTTTTCTTTTTATTAAAATTTATTTTAATTCATTTCAAGTATGCAGTACATTGGTAGACATCTCTATAGTTCATAAAACGATCCCCCCAATTGCTTCCTCCCTCCCCTGACCCTCCTCCTAGCCAACATATTAATGCTAACTGCATTTCCTATGTCGTGCTCCCCATCCCCATGACCATCCATCAGCTACTAATTTGTACTTCTTTAACCCTTTACCCTATTCTCCCAGCCCCCCAAACCCCTCCCCTCTGACTGTCACCAAATTGTCCACTATATTAGTTTGTTCTTTTTATTTCTTAAATTTCAAATATAAGTGAAATCATATAGTGTTTTTCTTTCTCTGTCCGACTTAAATACCTTCTAGGTCCATCAAACCAATATCTTTTTCCATCCCCTTCTTTTTCATATGTAGGTTCTTGTTTTCTTATCTTATCACTGTATCTATTGGTTGGAGCACTTAATTCTTTTCCATTTAAGGTGCTTATTGATAGGAATGTAGTTGTTACCATTCTTTATTCCTGTTTTTGATACATGCTTTTTCTTCTTAAAAAACTCCCTCCAACATTTCCTGTAATACTGGCTTGGTGGTGATAAATTCCTTTAGCTTATTTTTGTTTGTGAAGCTCTTTATCTGTCCTTCAATTTAAGTGA